TTATAAAGTTTGAAAAATAAACCCATCAGCAGAAGTCTGTTCTCGAGCTGTGAGGCAACTTCGTGTAGAATCAGAGCGCCCTCTAGTGGGAGAGGTGCAAAATCAGAGAAGTATTTGAAAGTTACAGCCGAAGACTCTTTTTCTTATGACCATATGGTTAATACATCTTGTGATCAATAATTTACAGATTAAGACATTATACTTGTTAAGATTTTGATTTAAAAGACATCCACATGATTATCCACATATCACAAAGTCACTGTGAAGCAAGAAAAGTTCCACATGCTCCTCAAACTCCATTTACCTGGTGGAGAAACTGAGTCCAGTGTGAATGGGAGGGCTTCTCACACTTGCTCTCACCAGACGCTCACGTGAGAGCAGCACCACCTGAGTCCTGTCCAGTTTCTGCTCTTCAAGTCCTCCTCCTGGGTGCGTCCCTGAGACACAGGTGGCGGCTCCAATAGGCAAAACCCTCACAGAATTATTTTAAACTTGATGTTTTATGACAGGTTTTCCTGGGGGCTGGGAATGAGTTTCTAATGAAATAAACCTGAGCTGCTTGGGTTTTGTTGGACATTGCTTTGGGAACTACTTAAAAATCCAAGTTTCAGTAGAGTGAGGGTGATGGAAGGGCTCTTGTAAGGCTTTTTCCCCCAAAAAATATGTTTTTTTGATTTCAGAGAGAGGAAGGGAGAGGGAGAGAGTTAGAAACATCAATGCTGAGAGAGAATCATTGATGGATTGCCTCCTGCACACCCTCCACTGGGGGTGAAGCCCGCAACCCAGACATGTGTCCTGACTGGGTATGGAACCACCTCCTAGTTCATGGGTCAACACTCAACCACTGAGCCACACCAGCCGGGCTCTTGATAGTTTTTTGCTAGTTTGAGCTAGAACTCTGCTATTCCTGTCAGATAAGCTAAGATGTGTGTGAGGCAAAAGGCAGGACAGTGGTTTAAGTATCACTGAGGTCAAGCTTTTGCATAGGACATGCTGTAAAATAGGCTGCTTCTAGATCCCTTCCACTGTGTCACTTCCCACTAGCGTTTTTAAGAGAGCCAGACAGCATAATAGCTGTTTCTAGTGCCTTGGCATCAAGCAGCTCCTGTGTAACGGAAAAATCAGACCTGGGTAATCTTGAGAAATTGAGTTCCTTTATTATCTATAAAGTGATGACAATGATATCTATCTATAAATATTTGTGTTAATGGGTATTTAGCACATAAGAGCTACTCGATAACATTGTTTCATCAACTGGCACAGCTGTGTGAGATGGCAAAACTCCCCTATTCACTCTGCTCCCCAAATAGCAATGACTGTCTATGTGCCCAAGTAATTAGCCACAGGTGGACGTCCCCAAAAGAAGGAAAATTTCCTTCTTCATTCTCCTTCTTCATTCCTTTCTCTCTCTCTCTCTTTCTCTCTCTCTTCTCTCTCCATATATATATCTCTCCATATGTATGTATATAATTTCTTATATATTTTTTATATTAACACTTTAGGTCAATCAACATTTTTAAAAGGATAAGCATTTAAATTATTAACCAGTCTTCTAATTACAAAACAATTTTTCCCTTGTTCTCAGTTTTTGTTCTTACAAAGTGCCTGGTGATTAGTCATTACTCAGTAATGAATGCATGAGCAACAGTGTCCAAAGTCGTGCCCTATATATTTATTGGAATCAACTAGTCTCTCTTGATGATCCACAATCACCCTTCTGAGTGTCACTACCAGAAATGTGGTAAGGCAGAATTTTCAGAACATTCAACAAGAGAATTTTTAAAATTATATAACCCCTAGGCATTCCATTCTAGGATAGGGCTCTGCTTCTCCGTTGTTATACCTGTCTGTGAACAAGACTGTTCCCAGAGAGCTGTAGAACCTGTTGTGCCAAGATCCAAAGTTTCTCATTCACAAGGCTTCGTTTTAGTCCCTGAAAGTTCCACAGCTTCTCTGAATGTTCCCATAGGCTTGCTAGAGGGGTTACTCCTTTCATTCAAGGCTTTTATAGTTTTTAAATCTTGGGATGAATAGATATCGTTGGAAATAGACTGGAATATGAGACCTGGCTGATAGTTTCAGAATATCCTCTATAATCATATTATCTGTTTCATCTGCCAGGCAATTTATGGCCTTTTGAGAGAGAATCATTGAAGAAAAGAAAAGGAATAAAAACACACCACAACTCTGGTAGCAGTTAATTCAATGATTAAATGGAAACTGTATGTTTAAATTGCAGTTTGAATAGGAAATTAAATTATGCAAAAAAGTGTTATAGATTCAGACAAATTTTATACTGTTAATAAATCTATGCATAATTCATTTTCTTGTAGGCTGTGACAAAATAGCATAAATAACTTCATTTATAAGGCTGTGAATTTTGCTGTTCTTAATTGGGTGATGGCTAAAACTATTTAAATACTTTTGAATGACTGAATATATAAATGTTTAAAATGAGCAGTTATAATAGGTTTCCAGGCAGATTTGTTTATTTAATATTGCTATATTTATTTTTAGATACTAGCATAGTACAAATATTGCATAAAGATTGCACCCAATATGTGTGTTTGATAGGATTTTAAGAAAAATATATGATCTCTTTGCTCTTATAGAAAGCACTCTGATGCTCATTGAATGAATACTATGTCAGGCACAGTACCAGTTACTTTATAAACTGGACCACTTCATTCTTATTATAGACCTAAAGGCAGGTACATTAACCCCATTTAACTGATGAGGAGACAGGCCAAACAAGGGAGGAACTAGCCCAAGTTCACATAGGTGATCACTGGCAGAGCAGTGGCTCTGAGCCAGGTATTTTGGATTTCTAAAACTTACATTTTTTTTTTTCTGTTACCTGCAGCTTCACACTCTACACACTCAGGTAAGTTTAGCACCTGAGCATCTGAGAGTCAAGGCTGTCTTGTTAGGAGGGAGTCTCTTGCTGTAGCAGTGGCCACGCAGTAGCTGAGATCAGCACAGCTGCCCCTTGAACACTCACAGTAACCACCACTGTCGTGGCTATTACGTGGCTCCACAGGAGCCATACTTGGGCCAGTGACAGGAGCCGCTGAAACTCAACCCCACCTTTCTGCTGAGGAGCCCACTTTGCAGATGCAAGGTCTTCATTTCCAGAAGTATTCGGGGACTAGAGGGAACCACTGGAGGTGTGATCATCGGTGCTGCCTTTCAGAAATGTGGACGTGTGGTCTTGAACTGCTGGGGTCTATGTTGCACTGGATTTGCAATTCATAGAGACCATGGCAGTCACCAACAGATGAGTGAATATTGGAGATTTCTACAAGCTCAGTGTATGTCTCTTCAAATGACTATCTCTATACATTCACAGTGACAACTAGTTAAGAAGGTATTTCTTTGACTTGATTCTTGGGATCCTCTAGTCTGCTGTTGGAGCTCTGTATATTATTCTTTATTTCAGTCAGTGTATGCTTAATTTCTAATTGGTCCTTTTTCATATCCTTGAGGGTCTCACTATATTTCTCGGAGGTTTCTAGAAGATTCTTGAGTAACCTTATAATCGTGGTTTTGAACTCTATATCCAGTAGTTTGCTTTCCTCCGTTTCTTTCATTTGTGGCGTTCCTTTCTCTCCCCGTTTTGGCTGCTTCCCTGTGTTGATAGAGTGGCTTTGTGTGCCAGGTGTCCTATAGGGCCCAGTGGCTCAGCCCCCCTAATCACCTGAGGTAGACACTCTTGGTGCACCCCTTTATGGGCTTTGTGCAGTCTTGTTGTAGTTAAGCCTTGATTGCTGTTGGTATCACTGGAATTGACCTACCAGCCAGTTGGCTGTGAGGACCGGTTATGTTTACAATGGGAGAACTTCTGTGCTGGAGATACCCTTATGGGGTAGGAGTTGCTTCAATGGGGCTTTGGCACTCACTGTGTCTGCCCAGGTTTTTAGGCGAAGAAAGGCCAGGCCATTCATATGCAAAAGCCTCTGCGAAAAGCTTGGGTGGGGTTGTAAATTGGGTGGGGCCGGATCTCAGGGAATCACCAGGGTGGAGCAAACCACAATGGCTGCCAGTCTGCTCTGCCTCGGAGAGGTCCCGGGGTCTGTGTCCATGTAGAAATAATGACCGCTGTAAGCACCTCTGTGAGAAAGCCGCCCTCACATTCCGGCCCGATGTCAGACAGTCCAGTTTCCCTCTGTATGAGTCTGGGTCCCCAAATTCTCACCCAGAACTGGAGTTCAGAGCAGTCGGGAGCTTATATCTCCTTCCTGATTGAAAAAGACAACAGCGTACCCAGCTGCCAGCCCCTTTTCCGTGTGCTTCTGTACCTCTGCACTTCCACACCTCTCCACCTCCTACCGGACTCAATGCGCTTTGCTGTTTCCTTCTAGTTGTAGAATTTCCACTCAGCCAGCCTTCCTGTGGTTCTGGATGATATTCGTTTTGTCTTTTAGTTGTAGTTGTCTTTTAGTTGTGGTTGTGCACGGCAGCAAGTTCAGGTGTTTACCTATGCCACCATCTTGGTTCTCAAGAAGGTATTTCTTGATTAACTGATCAAACTGAGGATTGTCCCTATTCAGCATTTAATAGGTAGCTGCTGATTCTTCAGAAAGCACAGGAGGGAGGGGATGGTTAGGGCAGAGGGCCTGCTGTGCTCTTTGCTGGGGGCGTAACCTTGGACAAGGCTTACTTCCTAAGCCTCCTTTTTCCTCTTTACAATGGGGTGACAATAGTACCTGTTTCATAGGGGTATGAAGATTGAGTGACTTAATTTTATAGAATACATGGTAATATTAACTAATCAACAATCATTATTTTTATTCTTCTTCCTCTCCCAGACCCTTCTTTTGCCACTGGAAAGAGTTAATTATAGGTATTAAAATGGACTGAAGCAGAATCAGCACAATGCATCCATCTCTGGCCCCTGCCCTATTTACCTAATGCCTACTTAATGACTTCTTTTTTCTTCACTAGGAATCACTTTGGGAGTTCATTAGCCAATAATAAGGGTCTAATCTTTTGCCACTTAGGGAAATGATCGCCAATCTAAGTCAACTGTGGGATCCAGTGACAACTCATCTCCTCAGCCCCCAAAGAGGAAAGGGAAAAAAGAGGATGTGAATTTAGAAAAACCCACAAAAGGAAAACAAAATCTAAAGTTAAAGAACTCACCACAACCAGTTCCAGACAGTGGTAAGTTTGTTGTTGTTATTATATTGTTGCTATTGATTATTTTTATGTTAAGGCTGGATATAATTTTAATGCTTAAATAGGTCTATTTGTTCCTCTGGGCACACAGAAGATATTCCTACTTGTCATACATGAGTTTTTACAGAAGACCATGTGTATGTGAGAGATGCTGCTTTTCAGGATTAATTCCTGTTTGTAATTAGAGGTTGTGCTACAAAGGAATGTGTTTTGAGATGAAACATTTCTATTGCGATCTTACAAAATGAAGTAAGTTGTAACATCCTGTGTTCCTACTGAAAGTGCTTAATTCACATTTTTTTTTTTTACCAACTGACGTTGGTGTCTCTTGTGTGTCTACAACCTTTGTTCACAATCATTATGAATTACCTTTTAATCACAGATCACTCCCCCCCCCAAAAAAAAAGTTTTACTAATTTTGCTGATACCCAAGAGAACACACAAAACTTTACCAATAAACAATATATACCAAAATTAGTTATGTATCTTACATTACCAGGCAAGAGCTTGTCTAAATAATTTTTTAAAAATTTGTATTAGGACAAAATTTCAGGATAAAAGTGTGATGAACTAAGGACATATGCCATCAGAATTGTGGATTTTCCCATTAGGTTTTTGTGACAACAGGCTGTTACGGGTTTCATTACAGCCGCGTTCTCAGTGGGGTGAGCACATGACAGTGAAATGATGCTGTGGCAGAGGGCTTCTGGGACACAGCCCAGCAGAGTGACTGCTTCTCCTTCCTCCTGGGATCCATCCACACACACCTCAGGGGGACACACTGGGGCGCCTAGGAAGAGGATGGATGCGATAAGGTTTCAGATGTGTGGCCAGAGCTTTATTTTCTTGCCTAAGAGCTCCAACTCATTTCTGAGTCTATATGAAGATTCACGTTGAAGTTACAGCTAAAGTGGGCTTCACAATTGAAGAGACAGCATGAAATCCTGTGAGGGTTTAGAGAATACTGCACAGATGAGTACAGAGTTAAAAGGAAGATGTGTTGAGACTAAGTTAAACGAACAGGCTAAATGAATGAGCTAATTACAGAGAGAAGAAAGAGTAGAGGGTGTTTAAATCTTCAAAGGTTGAAATGATGGAGATTAGCTGGAAGCCGAGTGTTCTAAATTCTTGTTCTACTTCTGCTGTTGACCCTGGACAAGTCACTTAACATTTCTGTGCCCCATTAGCCATCTACAAAGTGTGGGTTCATATTAAATTTAACCTTAAAGTTTTGCTTATCTTTAAGTTTGTGAAATCCTTTTCAGTGACCATGAAACAGGGATGTCAGGGTGAAATTCAGCCAACAAATGTTTATTGAATGCTTATTGTATTAGCAGACACTAAAGGAAAAAAAGCTAGCCATACCTTGAGCACTAAAAGTATTTTAGTTTAATCAATGTATACTAGATAATGAAGCTCCCAAGGCCATGGGCTGTGTCTTTTTTTAAAATGTATTTTTATTGATTCCAGAGGAGAAGGGAGAGGGAGAGAGAGAAATAGAAACATCAATGATGAGAGAGAATCATTGATCGTCTGCCTCTTGCATGCCCCCTATGGGGGATCAAGCCCACAACCCAGGCATGTGCCCTTGGCCGGAATCGAACCTGGGAACCTTCAGTCCACAGGCCAACTCTCTATCCACTGAGCCAAACCGACTAGGGCTGGGTTGTCTTACTAGTTTATTTTTTTAATCCCCAACAACTTGCACATATCTTATGGATATGAGACACTTAATAAATACTGAGAAATGAGTGATGGAAGTTACAAAATAAAGAAATCTTTGTAATACTTTAAAACTCACTAAGGAACAGGACCCATTTTAAACTTTTCATGAATTATTTTATATTAAAGGCTTTTTAATAAAATGTTATTTGCTTATTTCCTGTGAGGCTCTTATTAGTTCTTGAAGATCCCAACTCCTACTTCCAATATGTTTTTTAAAGTCTTTAGATTTAGTAGTTGTCCCTCAGAAGAAAGGGAAACATCATCTTATCAGGTATTTCATTTGTAGAAATTTGGGGACACAAGATGCTGTATCAATAGTTCCCTCTTTCACAGGAAAGTAACTTTTATTAAAAAGTTGAATTATCAGTACTTTTGCTTTTGTGAAAATCCACAAACAGTTTTCAACAAAAATTGTATCTTTGGGGATGAAAATAACAAAAATATATTGAATATTGAAGCAAGTCATATTTTAAATGTGCTAAGAAATGATAGAATCAATGAAAAAAATGAGTACTTTACCTAAAAGATTAAAACTTTTGAAAAGAACCAAAAAGAAATTCTGGACATGAAGGACTCAATAAAAGAAATCAAGAATGAACTAGTGAGCACAGGAAATAGAGCTGACCAGATGGAGGAAAGAATTAGTGATATCTAAGATAGAAACCTAAAAATGACATAGAGGGAAGAAGAGTGAAACTTGAGTATACAGAAAATGAAAGAACTCTCTAAGAACTATGACTCCATCAGAAAGAGCAATCTATATTAATAAAAGGGAAATGTGCTAATTAGACCGGGAGACCTTCTGGATGTCATTCCGGACAAAGTCATGGTGGTGGGCCAAGGCAGAGGTGATTAGGGGTGATCAGGCCAAAAGGGGAGGGCAGTTGGGGGTGATCAAGCTGGTGGGGGGCAATTGGGGATGAGCAGGCCAGCGGGGGGGCAGTTGGGGGTGATCAGGCTGGCAGGGTGGCAGTTGGGAGAGAGCAGGCCAGCAGGCAAAGTGGTTAGGGGTGGCCAGGCTGGCAGGCAGGTGAGTTGTTAGTAGCCAGCGGTCCCAGATTGCAAGAGGGATGTCCGACTGCCAGTTTAGAATGCCCTAAACCGGCAGTCGGACATCCCCTGAGGGGTCCCAGATTGGAGAGGGTGCAGGTCAGGCTGAGGGATTACCAACCCCCCCCCCCATGCATGAATTTCATGCACCAGGCTACTAGTCTATTTATATAAAAACCCTGGGTGTAACATCACGACCCAAGGCTCGACCAACCAGAAGGAAGTCAGTCCTGTAGAGGTTGTCTTGGAAATGGCTACACCCTCCCTGAGCTGTTTCCCAGAACTATTTCCGGTAAGGGCGAGGTTTGAGGCAGGAACCCGCCCTCGGAGCATGGAGGCATATCTTTATAAAGTGTGCCACGCCAGCACGGCCAAGGGTGAACCCGAGTGGGGGCGGCTGAAAGGCTTAGAAAAGACAGACAAGTGAATGAAAGCTGGGTCTTGGTGGGACACTGCTTCTCTGAGAGACAGTGACCACTGCCACAGCTGTGTCTTTATTTTATAGCAGATGCCATGAGGCAAAGTAAGGGCATGATCAAGATGTTTACAACATTCTCCTGGGTTTCAATCCTACTCAACTACATGCACCTGAACTCTATCAAGCCTACATCACTTAGGCATGTGGGGCCATGTGTTTGGACCATAGGTTCAAGCTTACAACTATAGCTGTTGGCTATAATTGTGCTGGGAGGGCCCTGCCCTCCAAGATGGGACTTGCATGTGGCAATGAGAGGACTGAGCCCTCTCATCAGTCCAAGGCTTGAACCTGTCCAAAACACTGTAGTGGCTCCCCACAATAAATTTTGATACATTATATTAGAGGTTGTGAGGGTACTGTTTTACCCACAGTGTCTACAGGAATTGCTGAAAATTTACTTCTCAGTGGAAGAACCTTTCATTCCCAATATAAATGACCAATTCCATTAAATGAAACTTCAATTTCTAGACTTGATATAAACAGTGAAGTTGCTAAAACTATTAAAAAGGCCCAACTTTTCATTATTGATGAATGCATCATGGCATCCAGTCATTCTATAAACACCATAGACAGATTACTAAGAGAAATTATGAATTTGAATGTTGTATTTGGTGGCAAAGTTATCCTTCTTGGAGGAGATTTTCGACAATGTTTCAGTATTGTACCACATGCTATGGGATCGGCCATAGTACAAATGAGTTTAAAGTACTGTAATGTTTGGGAATGTTTCAGAAAGTTGTCTCTTACAACAAATATGAGATCAGAGGATTCTGCTTATAGTGAATCGTTAGTAAAACTTGGAGATGGCAAACTTGATAGCGGTTTTCATTTAGGAATGGATATTATTGAAATCCCCTGTGAAATGATTTGTAATGGATCTATTATTGAAGTTACCTTTGGAAATACTATATCTATAGATAATATTAAAAATATATTTAAACATGCAATTCTTTGTCCAAAAAATGAGCAAGTTTAAAAATTAAATGAAGAAATTTTGAATATACTCGAAGGAGATTTTCACACATATTTGAGTAATGACTCCATTGATTCCACAGATGATGCTGAAAAGGAAAATTTTCCCACCGAATTTCTTAATAGTATTACTCCTTCAGGAATGCTGTGTCATAAATTAAAATTGAAAGTGGTGCAATCATCATGCCATTGAGAAATCTTAATAGTAAATGGGGTCTTTGAAATGGTACCAGATTTATTATCAAAAGATTATGACCTAACATTATCAAAGCTGAAGTATTAACAGGATCTGCAGAGGGAGAGGTTGTTCTGATTCCAAGAATTGATTTGTCCCCATCTGACACTGGCCTCCCATTTAAATTAATTCGATGATAGTTTCCCATGATGCCAGCATTTGTGATGACTATTAATAAATCACAAGGGCAAACTTGAGACAGAGTAGGAATATTCCTACCTGAACCCGTTTTCGCACATGGTCAGTTATATGTTGCTTTCTCTCGAGTTTGAAGATCATGTGACATTAAAGTTGTAAATATTTCATCACAAGGGAAATTAGTCAAGCACTCTGAAAGTGTTTTCACTCTTAATGTTGTGTACAGGGAGATATTAGAATAAGTTTAATCAATTCATCAGTCGTTTGCATCGCTGTTGTTTTTATATCATGTTTTTGTTGTTTTTATATCATGTTTTTGTTGTTTTTATATCATGCCTCTGTTGTCATTATACCCTTTTGTTACTGTTTATTTATTAATAAATTTAT